TGTTGTTGTTGGTCATTCTCCATAAGAGAGAAGTGAACTTAGTTAGGTTTGGAATTATTATTACAAGCGTTTTTTTTTCTAGTCATTTTTTTTTTGGTTTTGGTAATCGACAGAAAGAGTTTTTTTTTATTAAAAATTAATACTTTAATAAATAAAATTTTTATTATATTTATTTAAAATATTAAAAAATAATTATAAATTTAATACTTCATTATTTAAAATTTAAAAATTTATATATTTTTTTTTTAAAATACATTATTTAAAATTTAATTTTATATTATTCTTTATTTTATTATATGTATATTAGATTAAATAATTTTTAAAATAATTTTTAATTAATTTTATTTTAAATTATTATTCCTTAAACAATAAGATATTGTAGACAAATTTTTTAATATTTCAGTTTTTATATATTATTATAAATAAAGCTATTTTAATAAAATTTTTTCTGAATAGTTTAAATATTATATTATATGAAAATAATTATCATTTTCTGATTATATATTGAAAAATTAGAGTTAATCACTGATCAAATATAGTATTTTAATAATAATTTGATTTTAAAAATATTTAATCTTGATAAAATCATTATAATTTAATTGCAACTATATAAAATCTTAATAACAAAAATAGAAAAAATTATAAGAAATAACTTTTATTATGCTAATTTTAAAATTTAAAAATAAGATTTTAAAATTACATAATATTTTAATAAAACAAATAAATTTAATAAAATTAAAATTAATAAATTTAAATTGTTTTGTTAATTTATCAACTTAACTTTATATATATAGTTTTTTTTTTTTTTCTAAATTTTTTAATTAAATCCTATATTATTTGTATTCTAAAAACTTTTTAATTAATATTTGTATCAATTTTTTTAATATTAAATATAAATTTATTAATATAATATCTAGCAGTCAAAAATTAATAGCATTTATATTTTACTTACTGGTAATTGAGTATTATAAATCTTTATAATTAGTTGACAATATTTATTTTACTTATAAAATAGTAATAATCATCAATAACAATAGGAATTGGTAAAAATTTTTTACTTGCATTTCTAAAAATTATTCAAACTTTAATTACATTAGTACTTATCTCTTATGGTTAACATCTAATCCTTTTAATTCAATTTTTATTTTTATTATTAATTTAATATATTGTTAAAAGTATTATTACTGGATTATTATCCATCTATATAATTATCAATATATTATAATAACTACTTTAAAAAGTGTATTTTAGTTTTTTTATCTATTTAAAAGAAAAATTAATATTATCTTTACAAATAGTTTTATATATTTCAATTTTTTTCATATAAATATTTATATAGTTTAATACTAGAAAAATAATTATTTATGTAAATTTTGAATATTTATTTTCTATTGATAATTGAAAGACAAGGTGATATACTTTACTATCTACTTTATTAACTTGATACTTATTGAATTTTAGATTAATTTTGAATTCTAAACTTAAAATTATAATTATATATATATTTACATTACAGAGAGAGAAAATTTTGTAATTTTTTAGAATAAGTTTATTTTTAATTTTACAATATAAACATTTCTTTCAGAAAATTTAATTATCATTTTATTAATTGAAATATTTAATATAATATACAAATTGATTTGAAAACTGTTTGAAGATAAGCTGCTAAAAGATTTATTTTAGAATACTAAAATAGAAGTAAAATAATATAATTAGAAATATGCATAAATCACTTAATCTAAATATATTAATAAATGATTTAATTAATTTTTAATTAATTTAAAAAAGTATTAATATAAAATTAAAATACCTGTTCAAAATAAATTAAAGATATAAAATTGTAATTTTATATTTAAAAAATTTATTATCTTTATTTTAATAATCTCGAATACTAGATAATTTAAAACTATAATATTATCAACAAAGTAATTGACTAATAATAATAAAATTATGTGAAAAATATAATATGATGATCTTTTAATTTAGAATTCTGAAAATACTAAGAATTTTATAAATTCTAAGAATACAGAAGATCTACATAATTCTGCTGATCTTTCAAATAATGATAATAATCCTAATATTTTTATTATTTGTGTATTTTTATTATTTAATATATTTGGTTTATTGATATTTTATTTGTCAAATTAATTAGTTTATAGCATAGTAATTAGTTAGCTATAATAAAAGAAATTATGTATAAATAAATAGATTTTTGCTTATATTATAAATTAATTCTTTTGCAAGTTTATAAACTTTTTTGTGAATGAGAGTTTTAGTATTAATAAAGGAATCAATTAAAACTTATATTTTTCTATCTCTTTATATCTTCATATAGTCTAATGTGATCCCTATATATCATTTATAATTAAGTTCATTATCTGAATTCTTTAACTTATAAAATCATTTAAGAGAATTTTTAATTTTTATTTTTTAAATTATTTAAACTTTTTAAATTTTAAAATAAAAATTAATATATTGTATTTTTTTTTTTATTAATATACTAAAATTATGCTATTTTATATATTTAATAATAATAAAGTTTAGCTTATTAATTTTTTTTTAATATATTTAATAATAATTATTTAATAAAAAATAATATTGTTTAATATTATAGTTGAGAGATAAAACATCTTAATAATAATCAAAATTCAGATGAAACTATAGAGTTTTAATAATAATTTTTTTTTTCTTTAAAAACATTTAATATGAATTATACATTCTCATAAATTATATTATATATAAGTTTTTGTAAATTTTTATAAGTTTGTAATAAAATAAATATTATACTGTTCAATTTTTCTGATTTAATAATTAATGAAAAAAATAATTATATTTTTAAAACTTTAAAATTAAAATATAAATAATTTATTAATCTTAATATAAATTATAATTATTTATATTCGTTAAGGTAAATTTACATAAATAACGTTTCAATTTATGTTGAATTTCTAAAAGTTTAAATTGAATGTGGTCGAGTATGGAATGGACTCCATATACCTCTAATACTTTCAGTTGTTGAAATAACCGGTTTCTTGAATCTTTTCTTTGCAGTAACCCCAGTATTGTCGCGTATTAATTTTACAATTTCAGCAATTGCATCCGGTTTTTTATTTCTAACACAAACCTGCTTTTGTTTACGATTCACTTTATAAAGAAATGGCATATTTGTAAGAAAAAAATTTTAATGCATCGTCGAAAACAAAAATGAAAATAATTAAATAATTAGGACTGACAGTATGTTCCAGTTATGAGAGGATGTTTTGATGGGCGCGGGGTTACTACAACTTCTAATTGTGGATTCTCTTTTGCGAAAGGGATTAAATGATTTTGAAGATATTCGCTAAATATGCAAAGGATCTAGTTAAATTCAGATGAAAATATTAACGAAATTATTTAAAGAATAAAAGTTAAGAAAAAAAAAACTCACATCATTCCACGACTACTTCCACTACGTTCACAATAATTAAATTCAATCTTGCGACATGAGAAAACGAACGCACCAACTCCATTTTTAGCTATCGTAATTAATGGTTTTGTCAACATCAAAAATAGCGTTAGAAAAAAGAAACCGTGATCGGGAAGGAATTTTCATGTGATACAAAAATACACGTTTTACTTCAAATGATCTACATACTAAATATGGATAGATTAATTCCTATTCATCAAACTAAGTTCATCTTCCTGTTGTTACTAGGATCTTTTTTAAACATGTCACATATTGTAAAACGCTGTCGTACCGAAGGAGACGAAGAAGAAGAAACAAGTAGTAAATCAAAAACAAATGGCATAGGTTCTAAAATACCAGCAGTTTTAGAAGATAGTATATTTGGAATACAACCAGTTAACGATTTTGTTAGAGTTGTCAGCGACTTTTTATATTATCATGTTGGAAGGGAACATATTGAAGTAAAATAATTTATTGATTATTTCTAAATTATATTTAATAATTGCTAAACATTTTAAATTTTCTAGATCGAAGCCAAGTTAGGAGTTTTAGTAAATAAACAAACGCGTGAACGAATAAATTTACCGGTAAATTGCGAGACAGGTGGGTATATTTAATAAAATGTCAGTATTTCTCCAAATTCTTTACTAATGCTGTGCTATATATATGTACTCTTAGTGATAAAGCCTGACGAAAGCAGTTGGATGTCATTTGAGAGTAATATGACTCTCGTAAGAAGCTCAAGATGAATTTGGCATTCGAATTCTCGTATCGGATTAAACAGAAATCCTTGATTTATTATTTAGGAACAACATCGACATTTCAATGAGCTACTAAATAAACGTTTCACCGAAACAAAATCTTCAACATTCAAAGTAAGTTATTGATTAATTAAAAATCATAAACAAAACTTAATCAAAGTATCCCCTAAATATAAATTAGGGAAAACCTATAGAATACAAACACACA